AACAATACCAAGGCGACCCCTGCCACGCTATCCGTGAATTTCTGCAACATCAACGGCCCAAGACGCAAAAGACAAAGCTGACCTTTTAGGCTCCTTTTTTGCGTCCAACTCGACTCTTGATGACGGGGAGAAAACACCGCCGACCATCCCGCGGTGTGAGTGCTCCATGCCAGATGTGCTGTTCTCACAGCGCTCGGTTTGCAAAGCACTTCTCTCCCTGGACATCCAGAAGTCGAGTGGGCCTGACGGAATCCCCCCAATTGTGCTGAGGACGTGTGCTCCGGAGTTGGCACCGGTCCTAACGCGTCTTTTCCGGTACTCCTACTCCCAAGGCATAGTCCCGAATTCATGGAAGACAGCTTTTGTCCACCCGATCCCTAAAAAGGCGACCGCTCAGACCCGTCCAACTATAGGCCTATCGCGATCACCTCCTTGTTCTCCAAAATAATGGAATCCATTATTAACTGCCAGCACATCCGGTACCTTGAGGATCACCAGCTGATTAGTGACTGCCAATACGGTTTTCGTCGGGGTCGATCAGCTGGTGATTTTCTGGTCTACCTGACCCATAGATGGGCGGAGGCAGTAGAGTCCAGCAGGTGAGCCGCATGCTCATTTGCCTCCTCTCCTATAAAAAAAAAAACTTAACCACTGATAATTACTTGGAAGCAATCATCACAAGTACGTGGCGGCGGTACGGTGTTAACGGCCATCAAGAACGTACTTCCAGGTAATATAGAGCCCGCCGGCAAGGTGCGATTACGTTCTGGGGCCACAGGTTGGCACGCAACGATAAGTGTGGAATATTCCCACCACACTTTGATGCACCTGTGAGCGCCCGCGCCCTCTACCGGGAGGTATCCACTTACCTTTCCTCATTAGTTTCCATCCCTGGTCCGGCATCACCACGGTAGGAGTCCGGCCAGACCCGTTAGGTAGGTAGGGTAGAAACTTTTAGTGCAAGTGAAAGTGATAAAGTGAGCAAAGTGTTAATTTTAAGTAATTGGTAGGATTAGGGACCCTCGTACGCAATGGAAAACACACGTGTATTACGTTCAGGCAAATCCACACCTACCACATACGCCACACCGGCGTCAGGCCAGACGAGTTCAACAGAAACAAATACGTGGATTAAGGGCACCGGCACAGAGCACACAAACGGTGACAGTGGCACGCATAGTAAGGATAGCGTGACGGGGGCAGTAATCTAAAATAGATCCGTACAAGTCGATGAGTTAAATACGCAGGATAGGAGTACGCCGGGTACACAGTAGTAAATGTCCTCGAGGACAGGACAAATAATCGATTATCTATTTTAAAAGCCGAATTAGAGTTACATAATTCCACATTAGCACAGGCTAGGGCGGCAGCCGCAGCTGCCTTAAGTCGTTTGGAAATAGCTAGAATAGAGCTGGAAAACTCCAACGACACGGAACCGCCGTCCAGACTAGAAGAGAAGAGAAGTGTTGAAGCGACATGGCGATGCTGGCCAACGCGAATGTTCAAGCGGTAAATTCGAGCAAATCGGACTTTACGGCACCAAAATACATTCACGAGCTACCTCATTTCGACGGGGCGATTTCAGAGTGGATGGCTTTCAAATCCGTCTTCAACGACACGGTAAGCATGTTTACTGACATACAAAATGTAGCCAGGTTACGAAAAGCGTTAAGAGGCGCGGCTCGTGAAATGGTTAGAGCGTTATTGTTCACAGTATCAGACCCATATGAAGTCATGGATACGTTAGAAAGGCGTTACGGAAAACCGGTATTATTAATACTTTCCGATTTGGAAAATATAAAACGCATGCCTCCCATGACGGAAGACGAGCACAATATAGGTAGTTTCGCGAGCAAAGTATCTAATACATTAGCGGCAATAAAATCACTCGATCAGCCGCAATATCTCTACTCGCCGCTGAGATATTTAAAGCCAAACTACTCAAAGGAAACACAAATATTGATCTCTCACCGAGCCATATAAAATTAGCAGAGTTATTGCTCATAAGAAGGAGTCAATATAACTCATTCGCCGAAGACATCGCGACCATAGCTGGGCGGCGACCAACCAAGAAGTCACCGTTCTACAAACTATCCGTGAAGATCGATCGCAACGGCATCCTGTGTTTAGACAGCAGAATAAAAAACGAACTCAATCTGCCAGTCCTACACGCCAAAGAAGGCTTCACTCGGTTGTTGGTGCATCACAGGCACGCAACCTTCAATCATGGCAACCATCAGACTGTCGTGAACGAACTGATACAACGATACCACATAATAGGACTACGCAGCGTTACACGCTATATATGTAACCAATGCCAATGGTGTCGGACCTATAGGGGGATCCCATCAAAAATCCCTTTAGACGACTTACCAATAGAGAGGTTGGCCCAGAATCAGCCGCCCTTCACTGCAACCGCGGTAGACTACTTCGGGCCCATGCAGGTCACGGTCGGACAAAAGTTAGAAAAAAGATGGGGTACATTATACACATGCCACACCACACGCGCAGTGCACTTAGAATTGGCCACATCCCTCATGGCCTTCTCCATGATCATGAGCCTGCGAAAAATGATAGCTCGCCGGGGCACGCCGACCAAGATATACAGCGACAACGGGACCAAGTTCATGGGTGCTGAAAGAGAAATTGCCGAAGCTATGCAAAATAGCGACCACAGCCTTAACATCTTTGCATCTGAAAAAGCTGATCACCTGGAAAAAGTACCACCTGGGGCACCAAACATGGGCGGTGCCTGGAAACGATTGATCAGATCAGTGAAAACAGTATTAAAAGTCACACTAAATGAGAGGTTCCCCCCTGATAAAGTGCTGCACACGTTACTGCTGGAAGCCGAACATGTGATTAATTCCATCTCCCGGTCTCTCGCTTCATCGCTATTACAACAACGGACTAAAACGTTTTTAGTGCTTGCACACGTGGGGGAGATTGTAAATAACAGTCTAGATTTAAGACATTATTAATGTGAATGCCTTTTAATACAATCTATGTACTTATTTAAGATTTAGTCACTTAAGTTTACAATTGTCTAGTACGTAAGCTTATTAATGTTTTATTGCCTCAATCAATCCCTAGCGTACATGTAAAATATATTGTATAAAAATGTGTTTACCAAATTCATGCAAATTATCAACAACGTGACTTTTTTCTTTGCAAAATATCAAAATTAACAAAATAATTGAAAGCACTCTATATTTTAAACAGCTTATAACATAAATTTTAACCAAAAATAAACGCGTCATAACATTGACAAAGTTTAGAGAATTTACCTGTGAAATGCAAAGACGTATTAAAAAAGATAGACAAGTTACACACTAACATTATTCCATTGTAAAGTGGCGCAGGTCGTACTATATCTACGTACAGTTATTTATTATGACACGTTGCGCTAACAAAAAGAGACAAATGATAGGGCTACCTACCAAAGGATACCTATCATTAGAAAAAGATGAATATACAATATTAGTTGTGTATTGATTGCTGCCGAGCGCTCATTTGCGCGAGCGCGTGACATACCGATATGGAAAATGAACACACTAGCTAGCGTCAAAGTTTACACTAGCGGTTAGTGTTGAAATAATAAAACCAATTATGAACAAAACATCTATATTCAAAATATTAATGAGACGTTTTTCTAGTCTTTAACAGTTGCCGTGTAACTTGTGCACCACTAAAAACACAGGAAGGCATTTTTGCCACGAATAACTAGAAGATTTACGCACTGTAGTGAAGGTACAGTCGCAACGCGAGAGCGTTCCCGACTGAATGCGAGTCGGGCAATTACCTGACTTTCGTATTGCCATTTTAGACCGAGTATGACGTATCTATACTTTTAAAAACATCTTAAGTGAAATGTGAAATTGTCAGTATTTCTATGATTAACAGCGCACACAGAACAAGTAATCATTTTGGAAAAAGTTACATACTAAATATAACCACTATTAATTACACTCTAAAAATTACCAAATATCTAGGAGCTTAATTCTTGCGTGCCGAATTGTGCCGACCTGTCATCCAATATCGGTTACAGAGTCATGAGATTTGTATCCTTTTCTATCTTGCATTTTTGCCATATGGAATTTTCTTCTGCCTTGCACACTATGTCGGTCTACACGCTAGTATATTCTAAGTCTATGGAATATACTTACGCCAGTATATTATAAGTGTATGCATTCAAGCTCTGAGCATAAATTACACGCAACATCTTTCAATAGGTTTCCCTTTTTGTCTTATTTGAAAATAAAATTGGAAAACGCAGAACAAGTACATATATTGACTCAATTTACATAGAATTGTATGATTCCTCTATGCATATATAATATGTATGTACTGACTTCCATATATACTTACTCTTAAGTGACCACACTTGCAGCACAGTTTTAAGACCTTACAGTTGAGAAACAAATGTACTTGTTTGTACAAAGCAACGGTGGGGGTACTGCGGGGCAGGGGGCTGGCCAACCTTGTGCTATCGCACTTCATTGAGTCTGATAGACAATTCAGGTAGTTGGTGCGAGCTGCGAGCGTGTTTTATAGTTTCTTTAAACCGTGCTTGTAGTAATGCGAAAGCAGCAGTGAGATATTGAATAGGCCACAGTGTACCTTTGTATAAACCGAAACATAGGCTTTATGATCTGGCAACACTACTTCTTGCTTTGCTGCTGTCAAAGTGTCAAATCAAAGAAAAAAGTATGAGTTCTGTTTAGAGTAGTAGTGTTCTGTTCTCATAATTTGGTGAATATTTTGATTTGTAATGGCAGAATGATTAAGGTATGATATATATTTCTTATTCCTGTCTATTTATATCTACATTATCCTTAATCGTTCGTTCAATGAAATAGAATATTCTTGACTTTTGTTTCAGATACTATGGACATTTTATGTCACATTTGCAATTCGGCACTTTACTGCACGTATAAATGTGTATTAGTAGTTGCAGAATGAAAACAGGTTGTGTTTAGCGGTTTGTGTTGACAAAGAAAATGGGAAACCAAAACAGTTGCTGCTGTTACCGTAGCCCATCACCTACCAGGAAGGATATCGTAAAATTAGAAGAGTATCCTCCTGAAGGAGACTTAAGTTCTAATAATATACAGCACATAAGTGAAAGAGAACCTGATGATGGAGATATTGACCCTTCCCAAGATCCAGTAGCAGGTACAATTTTTATGGAAAGGTCTAAAGCATCAATCGAAAATGGTATGACTAGAAAACGTAGTCAACATCAAATTGCTGATAATAAGTTGAAGAAAAGCAGTTCCTGTTCAACAATTTACTTAGATGATAGTACAGTATCACAGCCTAATTTAAAAAACACTGTTAAATGTGTAGCATTGGCTATATATTACCATATAAAAAATCGGACATCTGAACGTAGATTAGACATATTTGATGAGAAATTACATCCCTTGAGCAAAGAAGCTGTCAGTGATGATTATGATAAATATAATCCTGAGCATAAACAAATTTATAAATTTGTTAGAACTTTGTTTAATGCTGCCCAGTTAACTGCCGAATGTGCTATTATTACCTTGGTATATTTAGAAAGACTTCTTATATGTGCTGACCTAGATATTGCTCCTTCAAATTGGAAAAGAATAGTCCTGGGTGCAATTTTACTAGCAAGTAAAGTTTGGGATGATCAAGCCGTCTGGAATGTTGATTACTGTCAAATTTTAAAGGACATTACTGTAGAGGACATGAATGAGTTGGAAAGACAATTTCTTGAGATGTTACAATTTAACATTAATGTCCCGTCTAGTGTTTATGCTAAGTATTATTTTGACTTGCGCACACTTGCTGAAGCTAATGATTTAGCTTTTCCCAGTGAGCCATTAAGCAAGGAAAGAGCACAAAAGTTAGAGGCAATGTCTCGCGTAATGGAAGATAAGATATCTGCTGAAATAGTAAAGAATGGTATTAAAAAGTGGTCAAGCTTAGATAACGTCAATTCTGGAGCAGGTGTTAGGCGCAGTGTAGCCATATTGTCTTAACTTTATTAGCCAAAATTTGTCTGAAAATCCAAATTACAAATACATAATTTTTGTGAAACAAAACAAATTAAGAAACTTTTGCATCATCTTTGTAGAAACTTAGCACATTGCTTTAGTATTTGTGCATAAAATTTATGCTAAGTAATATTTTTTTAAAGTTATAAAGGTTTTAAAACGGTAAATTAATGTTTTTTTACTAATTATTTCTTTAGTATCAGTTTTGTCATGTAATATAAAAATGCACAAATGCTAAATATAACTAAAATAAACTCATTTTTATATTTTGTGGTCTAAGGATATTAAAGAAGAATATAAAAGAAAGACTTGTAATGTGGTCCAATATTTTATTTTGTATTATACTGATAATTACCTTTTTCCTACTTAATTCTAGAAAATATTTCTTTATCCAATCTTTCTATATTTTAGCTCTGGAGTATTGATATAAAATTTGCTTTCTATAATAGATGGCTTTATATAAAATTAGGCTACTCAAAGGTGTGCCTGCATTTGACTGAAAATTTTGTTGTGATGAATGTATCAGGTATTATTTTAATGCATTTAGACATCAGAGATAGTGTGTATATTCAATTATGCCAAATTAATTTGTAAATTAAAATCATGTATGAATGTAAACTTGATAGTCAAACATATTAAAATAATCAATTAAATTGTACATTTTTATATATTTTTCTTAATACAATTCTATGTTTACGTTTTAAAATAGGAATTGATTAAATAATTCATAACTATTAAGATTATGTTATACAGCCAATACATATGTATCATTTATATAACTAAGCAAAAATAAACATTTTATATGAGACTTTCAAAATGAGTTTTTATAAAAAAAATTATAATTGCTTTTAAATGCTTTCTAAATTATTGTACCTATGCATATTTTCTGCAAAACATATTTTTACTACCTCAGCGCCCGTTAATTTTTGCCGACTTCCAAAAAGGAGATGGTACTTAATTCGACTGTATGTTTTTTTTTGTGTGTTACCTCATAACTTTTTACTGGCTGAACTGATTTGGATTATTTTTTTTTTATTTGAAAGCTGATACTTCTCGTGTGGTCCCATATGAATTTGATCAAGGTCAGACCAATAGTTATGGAGTTATTCTTAATAACTCATATTGAAGTCGGCTGTACAAAATTTTAAATTTTAAATTATATTTCTTAAACTAGCTGACCATCACTTCCTCCTCGAGATCGCGTACAAAATTTTTTTGTATACAATGTTATTCGTTGCTCTTTATCTGAGTTAGTAAAGTGAGCGCAAGCGACTTACAGTTGTGAGAATCAGAGAGAGTTGTGTGAAAAAATCCGTATAAAATCGTTGTTTATTTAAACTTCAATAAATTAGAAATAAAACTTAGAAAACCTAATTGAAATCTATCCAGTAGTATTTTCGTGATGCGAGCACAACTGCAAACCTCTTATTTCATTTATATAAATACAAGCCTTTAAAACTAAGTACTAAGCTTAAAAATTAGTATTCAAAGAAAATAGGTAAGCTTTATTTGATATTTTAATATAATATTGTAGAATATAAAGTAAAAATGTATCGCCATATTATAACAAGTATAAAAAATGTTACATTAGTCTAAGCTTTGCTCTTTTTAGGGTGCCGTACTTAAACAACAAGGAACCCTTATAGTTTCGCCGTGTCCGTCCGTCCATTGGCTAATTTTCTGACACCCTAGGTGCTACAAACCTGTAATTTGTCATAGTTATAGACTTATAAATATAAATTACGGCTACAAAGTTGAAAAATAAAATCAGGAAAAATATTTTTATTTTGGGTACGTCCTATACACGTAAAGAGGGGATGATTTTTTTACCCGTCTATTCCTTTGGGTGTCGCTGCATAGTTCTTTCAAAAATATGGCGGGTATGAAACAACATTTTTAGATTCAGGGGTCCGTTAGTGAAATATTGAGCATTGAAATCATGAAGTGGTATTTTTTAGTCATGTGTCCTCCTCTACCAACTAAACAGCTGTTTTTTTCAAATGTGAAAAGTATGCACGATAGTAGTATAATGAAATTAAAAGGAAAATTTATAGCTAAGTAGGCTTAACAAGCAATAGTCGACCAACTTACACTTGAATTAGTAAGTTTCGTTACAATTATATAGAAAATTACCTAAAACGTAACTGTATTATAACTTTTTAATGTAAATAGTAAAAAAAAACATTTTTTACAGAAAGAAACGACATATGCTTTACTACTATACCTTCACGTTTTCCTTTGCGGGATAGGCAGAGATGATCGATCTCCAAGAGACCGCATGACATACAACTTCCGCTTATTTTTTAGTTCAGGGTTTCCCAACCTTTTTTTGGACCACTTTTTTTTTGTAGTTAGCATGGAACACAAGGTGAAAGAAAAAACTGTGTTAATCTAACAATAAATTATAATCACAACTTTTAACATAATTATTAATTATGTAATAAACTGAAAAGAAGCATTTCATTAACAGTATTATTTGTGTAAGGGGTGGGCCATTTAAGATTTGGAATTTGAATCGGCTATAAAAAAAAATGTCGATTGTTTGGGCCTCTATTTCATCAATGGCAACTTCGTTTTCATGTTTCAAGTCGTCAATCGTCTCTGAATGGTTAGCGTAACACTTGCCTTAACGGCTCCCCACAAAAAAAGTCCACTGGAGTCGAATCCCACCTTCGAGGTGACCAATTGACATAAGCATTTCGGCAGATTATGCGATTTTCGAAAACTGCGCAAAAGATCGATTGTTACGTTGGCTGTCTGGCACGTTGCGCCGTCCTGTTGAAACCAAATGTCGCCTATGTCATCCTCTTCAATTTTCGGAAGCAAAAAATTACTTTGCATTGAGTGGTAGCGATCGTCATTCACTACAACGGCGTTTCCTTATAATGCCGCCAGACCGAAATTGGTACCAGACAGTCACTCGCTGTGGATGCATTAATTTCGCCACGATGACGTGTGGATTATCTGAGCCCCAGATACGACCATTATGACGTATCCTCCGAGGTAGATATGTGCTTTATTTGAATAGATGACTTTTCGGTAAAAATGCTCATCTTCGATCAAGCTGTCTCCGGCCCATTGAGCAAACCGAAAACGCATGATTGTCATGTCGCTTCAGCTCATGCATTAAATGAACTTTGTACGCATTTATAGCTAGATCTTTATGCAGAATTCTTCTCAAAGAAGTGCGTGAAATGGTCAATTCTTGAGAATGATGATGATTTGATGTTGATGGTTATTCACGCACACTCTGAGCAACAGCAGCGATGTTTTCGGTTGTGCGCACTGGACGAGTACGTACACGGGTTGTTTTAATTCAACAACGATTCAGTTTCACGAACTCACTTCACCAATTGATCCACAAACTGCGTTTTTAGCACACTATTTTTGTCAAGTTTTTTTTCGTAAATTTCTTACACTTTGAGTAGAAGACTCACCACTTTGGAAATAAGTTTTTCCCAACTTTGTTCCAGCGAAAAGCGACCCCTTTCCTTTCTGTTACATCGGAAACGTCATCACACTTTCAAGCTCAAAATAACCTATAGTTCCAATTTTAAACGTTAGATGGCCCACCCTATATTTATTGTAAAAGCTAATAGGTACTTACTAACGAGACTCGCGGTATTGCACTGCCCGCGTGACGAGAAAATAATAAATGTGTTATTGAAAACGATTAGGTAGGTAAAATATTTATAACTTTCGCGGACCATATTTAAGTTCTTGCGGACCACTGGTTGGTAACCACTGTTTTAGTCAGTATAGTTATTGTAGGCCTATAGTTTCATTCGTGTTACTTTTGGTTAAAAGGCTTATTACATTACACGATTTCTCGGGCCCTGCCCGCGGGGACAGGGTAGTGTAATAAGAAACAGGGAGCCAGGGTCCCTAAACAGGGCGACCGAGTGGTTCCGACCGCCCTGCTTCCCTGCCGCGCTGTGGATCTTGTAGTGTAATAAGAGACAGGGAGGCAGGGAGCTCAGTTGCGTGGCCGCATGCGCAGAGTCTACACGTTTGTTTATTTAAAGTTTTACTATGTCGATCTACTCTCTAAATCATTACTCGTATTTATGTCATGCGCTAAAGAAAAAGATCCTTCTCAATGTCATCGACATCTACAAAGAAATGCCTTATCAAATCTTGATAGGAGTTTCCAGTGGCCAAAATCGTAAAGTGACAACCAATCTCTCTTAAAAAAGTATTCTTTTGAATAAAACTTCTTTTACGGATTCTATCGTGTTTAATATTTTTTTTATTAATTCCCGACGTTTCGGGTGCTTTACCACCCATGGTCACGGGCGACTGGTTGCTGTAAAGCATCCGAAACGTCGGGAATTAATAAAAAAAAATTTAACGCGATAGAATCCATACAAGTAGTTTTATTCAATGTGTAGTGTTCGCGTAAATATAAGAAATCATTAAAGTATTTTTTTTTTCTATTAAAGGCGTTACTAAGCTTAATAACTCATTGAATTGGTTTTCACCTACTATTTAAAATAGTTTCGTAGGTCTGTTGGGTCCAAAACGCTGACTATTTGCATATTCGATAGTTTTTCTCTGAGGAGCAAATATTTTTTCATCCACATTTAACTTTCCTTCCTTTTTTTAGCTTGGCCTTGCACGTTACCGCCAGCCAAAGTTTTTTTTTATAGGATAGGGTGACAAACGAGCACACAGTCCACCCGATGGTAAGTGGTTGCTGTGGCCCATAGACACCCACATTTATCGTATGCGAATCAAAATGCAGATGCGTTGTCACCCGTGAGGACTGAGATGGAATGCCTCTTTTCCAGTAAAAAGGGTCTCCGGTTCTCTACACTCACCATACGAAACACAGCAGTGTTAAGCTGCTATTTTACGCTGGTATTCTGTGAGAGCGTGGTCCTTCCCCGGTCGAGCGACCCATTCGTGCTACAACTATACTACTAATATAGCTATAGCATGGCTCTACCACGTAAAAAAAACAATAAAGCAATTTTTTGACGTTTAGATAAAGTCTGCGCCATAATGCTAGACGTGCAATCATTTCCACGTTCGAGTAACAACTGAGGCAGGAAGCGATTTCTAGCATAGTGTAATAAGCAGCGCCCTGTCTGGTAGGCAGGGCACACGATGGACAGGGCCCGATAAATCGTGTAATGTAATAAGCCTTTTAGGGTTGCACTCCCGGGAACTAATAAATGGATAGGGAACTATGACTATTTTTGTAAGGACTTGACATGTGAATGATATGATGTTGATTATTTTCATAATCGAAAAGTTTTTTAGTACTTACATTTTTTTTTTTAAACTGCGAACTCAAAAAGTACATAATTTCAAGAAGGCCCTTCTCAAGTTCGCATATGGTGACGAGCAACTACGGAACCCTACATCGTGCGTGGCTCGTTTTTTGTGTGCTTATATTTGGAAGTGAAGGTAAAAACAGCCTAGACAGATAAAGAATTTAATAAAAATGACATGATATTATGATTTTCCTCTTATCAATCTTCTTGATATTTTATCACATCATGCATAGATAAAATAATAATTATGTACCTACCTAATTTTAAATGTGAAGCATGGTGACCGCTTAGTTCGTACATTATGTACATTTTTCTAGAAAAATATCCTCATTTTATAGATTTTTTAGATTATACGACTGTTTTAAAATGATGTTACTAATGAGGTAAAATTTGAAAAAAAAAGGAATAACTGACGACCAAATTGAATAATTAATTTTAAGAAAACAACCCAGGTTCGATTTATCATGTGCCAAGCGATCAAGGAAAACATCGTGAGAAAACTTATAAGTAGGTATATCTGAAAAATTTAAAAAAAAAACATCGAAAACATGTCAAGTCTACCAACACCACATCATAAAACCCTCAGAAAAGAAAAGAGACCACACAGGCCCAGCCGTTAAAAAGGCTGTAACTTTACTAAGTTGAATAAATGTATACTAACCGTGTAGTGGCGGTGTAAGAATATCCAATACGCCATATCATCCGTGTCATGTCTTAAGAGGTGACAGAGGGAAACCAATCAGGAGATGGGCAGCAGCGTCTTCCTAATAAACATAAACACTCACGCCTGTCACCCAGAGGGGTAGGCAGAGAATACGGCCTTCCATTTGGCACGATCCTGTCAGACTTCTTTCGTGTCCTTTCACGTTCCATGAGCATGTATGCATAGGTAAATCGACCTTAACCGACATACATGCTCGTCGGTTAAGGGTACTCTTAATCTGGCCCATTTTCAATATATTACCAATTTAGTCAATAAACTTTCGCCTAGGGCGTCCCGTCCAGACTCTGCCGTTCACTTCTGCAACATAGATTTGCTTTACACTCGTTCATTCTTAATTTCTACATGACTAAACCATCGAAGCTTCCTAAAGACAACTATGGCAACTATGGCAATTATCCTCCTATGCGGGAAGCCTATGTTCAACAGTGGACTTTAATAGACTGTAACGGTAACGGTATACTATATAGAACGTTTTAAATCATTACAAAAAATACGTTAATACCAGGCTAAATGACTATTTCAACCCATGGAGCATGGACACTTAAAACTAACTTTAAACAAAGGCAACTACTGATGCTTTGTCCTTTGAAGACTAAGATAAAATGTGTCACGGCCTGTAATTTAAAGTGGTCCTTCATATATTTCATATAGTAACAAAGCAATGAATGCACTGACGCCCTATAATAGAAAATAGATAGTGTGGGAAGGACCACCATAGTAAATGAAAAAAACTAAGCTACAAACTGCTTCTTTGCTGTGTAGTGTTGGCGTAAGAATATCCAATACCCCATAATATAAACATATGGGTGTCGTAAGAGGCGACAAAGCGAAACATGGTCAGTAGCAACTTCCTAAAAAAACAACTTAATAATGAAAACATTTCCAACTGACAATTAATATTCCCCTGTTAGTAACTACTGAAAAAACGTCCCTTTGTCCTTTGCGATTGCAAGCTGCTGTGGCATTCATGGTAACGGCGATGCAGAGGGTGCTAAGAATACGGCAGCGGACGAGATGTTGCTCCCTTTGACGAATCGACCTTTTAAGGTTTAACGCACGCACCCTGAAGATCAGAAGATTCTGGGGTTGGATGAAAAGATACACAAACTGCGCTGGGATATTATTGCATTATACGTTCAAAACGCTATCTGACATTAGATTTCGTCGTGACGTCACTTCTATAGTAAATAAGCTAATGTGCTGTGTTTTATTTCAAAAATTTTCAAGTTATGATAATGGTTGTTGACTTTTATTTCGTACTAGCTCTGCCCCGAGGCTTCGTCCGCGTGTAAGTTAAGGTTTGAATTTTTCTTCGCGGAACACTAATTCTATGTCTAAAATAAAAGTAGCCTAAGTTACTCCTTACAACGTCAGCTATTTGTCAGTGAAAGTACCGTCGAAATCGGTCCAATCATTTCAGAGATTAGCTGGAACAGACAGACAGACAGATTAAAAATTTTAAAAACTGTGTTTTTGTTATAATTATAACAAAAACATATTTTTTATACTGTATATATTTTCATATGCATTTAGCAAAAAGTTGTTATTTTGACATTACAAACAGACAATTTTATTCAATTGTATAGATTTTATTGAAATGGCTTCATGGAAGACAGATTCGTAAAAGCACAAAGTACTAATCTACATTGATGGAGGCAAATTTTTCTCCATGCATGCTTGCTCCGATTTTTGTTCTGCCGAGCTGAGGAATGTGAAAATATTATTAAGTGTCTATTATCAACTTTTGTTTATACAATAACACAATACCAGGTCTACATACGTCATTTAGTTATAATGTACTACGTACATAACTCAATGACTCAGAGGAAGTCAATGGATGCAGCTGGCTCAAGAGCATGTTTTGTGGTGTTCCTTAAGGGAGGCCTATGTTTAGCATTGGACGTGCGAAGGGTAGTACGGGTGATGGTAATGAGACTACAAAGTTTTATATTTTAAAATTGTAATACCATAGACAATTACATAATCATTAACAAACAGCAAAAATTTTTATCCTAGTGGTTTTAGGTCTTTTAAGTATGCACTATAGTTTTCAAATATATCAACAACATCACTCTTTTGAGTCATTTTTTCATCATATTCTGGACCCACAGCCCAAAGGGTTTCTAAGTCATAAACTTCTCGAGCTTTATCTGAGAATATATGAAGAGCAATATTACCTGAAAAGATGAAAAAGATTATTTACAATATGTAAGATTTGTTCTTATATTTTTCTGATAATTGCAGACATGTTTTCATTCATTTATTACAACTTATCAAAAGTTCACTGTTGAATATAGGTTGCTCCCATAGATTGCCTCACAGAGGGATATTTGCCATAGTTATCATGCCTAGCATTGTGTTGGCAACAGCGGTTTTATTATTGTGATTTGTGATCAGGAAGATGCTGCTGTGCATCACCTATTTAATTTCCCTCTTTCTCCTCTTACGACACCCATGGCATGAGATAGGCGAATTGTAGCGGATTGTCTCATGCTGCTGCTACAGAAAATTAAAAAAAAATATGATTAAATTGTTTTAAATGTAGCAAACAATTATTTCAAATACTTATAACAATACATTTATTTTTGGTGAACTAGGTTGTTGCAGTTTAACTTAGGATTGACTTCTTTTAGGTGTTTGCAATACATATTAAAAAATAAAAAAGTTATTTAGTTTCCTGGATAAAAAATGATAAGTTATAAAAATATATTGTTACAATACCATAACATACCTAAATCTAATGCCATCCATTCATCAGAATCTTTTCCTTCTATCCTAGGTAATTGATCAGTTTTGTAACATTTTTTTTTGTAAACCTTTCGCACAAATTCTGCCAAAGCTCTTATATGTCTTTTACTGCGCCCACTAACTACACATATGTATTCTACAAAATTAATGTCCTTTGGCACAGTTGCTACGAAAATATTTTTTGAGTTTTCTCTTTGTAGTAAATCTACAAGGTCTTCAATATCAAATACCCCATGCTTTCCTCCTGAAACAAATTAATATTATGTTAATCAATCATATTAAGTAAACTCTTACTAGGTACTTTTTTAAATTCTAGGATCAAGTTTCTTTTCGTGGGTTGCTGCTTTTTGGCATTGTAAATATCCAAAGTAGAATCAGAGTAATCTACAAATCTTCACTCATCAGTATACTAAAGTGGCAATGAGCTAGCAATATAGCTCAAAGATTCACAAATGATGTGGGAAACAAGGTTCTCGAGCAGCAACCTTGTTCCAGTAAGGAAAGTGTAGAGCAACCCCCGGCTAAATGAAGTGAGAGGTACAACAAAAAAAAATAGATATGGATAAGTTATTACAAAAATATAACATTTACGAAATTTACACACGTAGTACATAGCAATTTTGTTCGTTATAAAAGATGTCACCAAAAAAAAGGTATGGCAATGTCAATATGGTAATCACAGTACAAGACATGTTACATTTCTGATTTTGTCCACCATTACTGGTATGGGTATTTTTAATCTAACATAAAGATTAAATCATCAAATAGAGGCAATGATATCTTCTATTGCTTTTAGTCATCATTTACAATGTTCCTAGGATAAAATAGAGTGATAGAACCACCCACAACAATAAACATACATTGTTAAATCTAAATTACAAAGACTGAGATCATTCTTTTGTCTCATTCCCTACATCCAATACATGTATTAGTATCAGCATATCTATAGTTTGCAGCAATTTGTATTGAAATGTTAATAAATTTTGCACTAATCAGTAAAGAAATTATTTACTTTCTAAATTTATTCCGTCGTATTCATCGCTCAAGATAGGATATTTTTCTTCTACAACTTCATATTTCATTTCGTCAGCAGTATGTTCAATTATAGGAGAATTTTTTTCAGTTATCACTTCATATTTACTAGATATGGCAGGAGAGGTCCAAGATTTGTCTTTTGATATATTTCTTGGACTCTCAACAAAGAATCCCAGGTGAAGCAGTCGAGGATGATATCTCCTAGGATCTAAAGCGCAGCATTTTATTAAACCTGTAGATTTTTTAATATTACCGATAGTTGCAACTATATTTTTAAACATATTGAAAAAAGATTGGTAGTTAAATTCAAATGTTTTAATAATATATAATACACATATTATATAATAATCTGCCTGAAGTATTAAATTTGTTATTTTCAGTTCCTTATTTTATATTTTTATTTTATTATTTTTTTATTTTTAGTCTACATTTTTTGTTGTTGTTACGATTCGCCATTTAAGGCAGACAAAGGTCTTAAATCATACAGCATAGTACTAGAGATTCGTAACTCAGGAGAGATAGATACAAAAAATATGAATTAATCCGTTTCCATTAATCATTCTTTATATCCCTCCGATTCTGAATGTATCAGTGTATATTTACAACTCATTCAGTCAAGGCGTCTTTTAACTTTTTATATCTAAGATCTGTGTCGCAAGCCGCATTGCGCACGCTGCTTTCTATTATACATCGGCCGGGACGGCCGGTCATTCCAAAGCCAATTTAAGGAAGATTTCGGCAAGACCATAGTAACGGCGGTGCAGAGGGTGCTAAAAATCCGGCAGCGGAGGTAATGTTGCTACCTTTGACGAATCGATACAGACGTCTCTTTTAAAGTTAGTCTTAGAAAGTTTTATGACCGAAATTAGTAGTCGTTTATGTCCATAAAAAACTAGAAAAATGATTTGCGATTTACAAAATTAAACAATGATATCAGTTTGCTTCATTAGTTCAACCTTAGGACCTTAGGACTCCTTTAGCCTGGAAAATTATGAAGGGAAGTCGGTAAACTATATAATATATATTTTCTACAAATAAATACAAACAATACCTACCCTACCTATGTTATTTTCGTTAATCATTAATTTAATTATTATTTTAAACAAATAGATACCTAGAAAGAAACAGCAACCAAATGCTACGACTAAGCAAAACTCTTACTGATAGAATAGAGTTGAGCGAAGCTAGCCACGCTGAGTGAGCAGCGCACTGTAATGCGATGCATGTCGTGAATGCGAGCTTGAGCTACTGGTACATAAGGATATAAAGATATAAAAGAGTGATACATATCCCAATGGTCAAAAGATACATCATTAATCTTTTCTTTTAAGTAATACACATTGCCCATGTCTACATAGTATCATGATGATGATGTTTACTAAACTAAATTCTTCACAATAATGTGGTCAAGCGTTATGAAATTTTTGGAAAATCTCCCATATACTAAATCTATGCCCAAATTGCTTGAGCCTACGTCTTACGTCTTAAAATCTACCTCAAACCATTATTTTATATAACGTTTATAATTCCCAATTTTTTTCAAAGTGGATACATGTTCCGTGAGTGACTCTCATTATAGAAATATTCCTGATGGTTACTTAATACCGGAGCAGCATTCTAGTTTTTAGTTTCTTCAGAATAAGTTTCGTTTGTGAAATGTATTTATTTTAAACCTACTAACTAAACTAACTTTTGTACTGAATCTACTATTTACTACCTTTTCCCTCTGAACGGTGAAAAAATAGCGAAATAAGTTCGCAGATATCCCTTTTGATTTTTTAACCTTGTCTAGACACTTGAAGAAGAAACGGTTGCGTTATATCTACTAAGATCTATGTCTGTCCAAGTTCTGGACCACGTCATTAATATTCGGAAGATCGCTGCAGCAGTTTCCAAGACAGGCGTTGACGGTGGTTTGATAAGATGACGGATAATATGACAGTTGTCACTTGTATGACACGGTGGCTGGGGTGTGGACTGGACCAGGGCCGGATTAACCATGTCGGGGCCCCTAGGCAATGCAATTCTCGGGGCTCCCTTCCAGCCAGCGTGAAGGGATGTGTGTAATAGCATCAGCAGCATCACCAGATTGATGATTAACTCCTCAGAAATGTACAGTAATAGATTTGTATTCGAACGTAGTGTGCGAGATTATTTATTTTCTTAATATGGGCTTAAAGACCATAGTAACTACCAGAGATATTTGACGCATTACTGTAAGTCTTGCCTCCCGCATTTTTTATGTCAGTGTTATATTGATTAAAAAAATTTCAGCGGCCAGTTCTTTCTCTTTGTGACTTACTATGAGAATAAATGTAAGAAAACGTTGTGCTACTTCTTCATTTGTATCTCAGCACTACAGTCAACCGATCAGTATGAGATGTGTCTGGTGTCGAATTGACGCTTATTGAGAAATATTTGGCTTTAATAATTTCATTAACAATGAACTTTAAAACTTTACTTCCCAATATTTTAATAAGTTCTTCGCAAATCGGTGAAGACAAATATGACTGTCTTCCTTTTCCAACATTACCATATTTGGCTAAATGCGAACTTATGAACGGATCGTTCTCCGAGAATTATTGTAAAATTCCCAAATAGTTGCCATTATGTTGAGAATGAAGAATTTCGCCAGCACCACGAAATGCTCCACCGGATAGCAAAACTTTAATCCCTGATACTACTCTTTGTAAAACTTTTATACAATATTCCCTTTCTTTGGTGAATGCCATTTCGAAAGAGGCGTCAAGTCGGTCGTGAATACATCGTCTAGACTCTAGACCAATCAGTGTTTGCATACATTGTCGGTGCGTTGCATTATTCTCATGGGATTGAATTCTTTGTGGCGCATTTTTCCGATCAGAAAATCCAGTTTGAATTTGCGATTGGCTTTGATCTTCGCCAAAAAGAACACATGGAAATCAGTGTAATTTTCCAGTAGATGTAGAATACATGAGACACAGTCGGTTAATTTTACAGCCACCTATGTCTTTCCGAAAAAACGATTGAGAAAGAAATCTTTTACTGTCGTCATATTGTTGCATTGAAGCAGAAATATCATACTCAAAGTGCTAGTACACCAAAATCTTATATTTCGTTGCTAATATTTTGCCATAAGTCGATGTCATTCTAGTATTCTACTCCTACGTTTTGGTGTAGTAATTGGACCTCGGCCTCGACCTCACTTTCCTCTGCACCCGCTAAAGTAGCTGTTTCTTGATCCTGATCAGTCTGTTCAGAACACTCGCGATTGGCGACTAAATCCGAGTTGGAAAAGGTTTTGTGTCTTCTTTAATAGTTCTTCAAGCTTGTTTTGTTGTTCTAGCCGCATTTTATGTTTTTCTGAACCACTTAGGTGTTTTTTGTTTACGGGTTCCTTGACATTTTATTACATAAGGAAATGGTAAACAACCACATGAATGAAAATCGACGCAAGAGAAATAGTAATAATTTTTATAATACCTATCTACACAAGAAAAAATTTGTCATTTCACACTCGTTGAATTTATAATATGAGATGAAATAAATACTTGTGTGTACAATATAATTTCACAATCAATTATCAAACTTACCTGGTAACAATAGTTACTTAAGTTTTTGTATCTATTACACGCTTCTCGTGTCGCTGATTTTATAAAGACACTGGCAGTCTTTATAAAAAAATCTTTTTTCATAAGTTTTCGAACACAGAGTAAAGTAATTTTTGAACTAAATTCACGGTCACTTACAAATCGCTACGTAATGCATCCAACGAATCGGGGATTCCCCCAATGTGAATGAAGTCTAGCTTACTGCGTTCCGAATTAATACTTTAAGTACAAAAATATCTAGCACTCTTAAATCGAAATTCATTTAACAAATTTTACAATTAAATTTTCGCTGTATGAATGATTTTTTTTATTTACTAACTAACATTTTTTTCATTTACTTTTGTGCGCACGCAGGGCCCCTAGCCGATGCAGCACATTGGAGCGGTGGCAAGAGGATTCTGTTGTGGATCTTACGCGAGCGACAACTCCTGCAATGTGAATGATGTCGACTTGGTGAGTGGCGGAAGAGGCGCTCACTTTGTTAATCCCCGCCACATTGTGTTCAATGTCACACCAACCCAGCCCGACATTAACTTCAGTCGCCAAGAAAGCAATCTATTGCGACGTTGGTGACTCAAGTGACTCAACCGAAAAGAGAAGCCGCCGCCATCGTTACTGCTTGGGAGAAAACGCTAAAGAGGTTCAGATTAATGAAGCAAATTCGTTTCATAAGGCAAGATTGCGCAAATATGCGACGTGTCGAAGACTAGAACCAGCCGTCCCAAGCGAAGAGCGGTGTAAGTACTCGTAATCGGCAGAAAGCAATCTGTTTACGAAGTCGATGTATGTCGGTCGGTGTGTGCAGTGCCAGTACACCAGAACCCGAAGAAGGAGATGGCGAGCTCAGCTCGAGGAGATAGCTAGACCCTACGGAGCATATTGAGCGGCTACTAAGGTACTAAAAACCGCCAGGTTCGGCCTCAGTCCTGGAATGCGCTTCTGAGGGAACTCAACTAAGATTCTGGGTAAACACTGGCCCAGTACCTGATTTAGAGTTCTGACAGCCCTAGGCTAACTATAAATATGTGCCCCCCACCGGCCAGTTCTGTCTGTGCCTGCCCAGCCCACGAATATATTTACTAGATTTTTGTATTTTACTAGCTTTCCATCCCGCGGTTTCGCCCACGTTAAATCAAATTAGTAAATGTCGACCATCGCCCATGAAAAACTGCAAGACCAGAGAAATCATAGGTGCGTTGCCGGCCTTTTTTAAAAGGTGTAAGCTCGTTTTTTGAAGGTCTCTATGCCAGCGCCAGTGAATTGAGACTATCAGACAGAACTCAGTCATCAACGATTCGAGGTACTCTTTGCTGGATGCGCTCAAGCGGGAGGAACTGGCACTAGGGTGTAACGGCCCAGAGATGAAAACAGTATTCCATGTGAGGCCAAACTTACGCATTGTAAAGTTCAAAACGATGTGCCAGCATGATATACTGTGCCGCTCTGCTGAGCACGCCAAGCTTTTTAGAGGCCAATTTAGCCTTTCCTTCCAAATGACCGCGAAACTGTACGTCATTCGATATGTCGATGTCGAAGATTCCGATGCTGGCTGAGACAGCATAAGAAGTGCAATGAAATTGATGAGATACGACTAAGGGGTCCTTTTTAGCAGTAACTGCGCAAACATGTGTCTTCTGAAGTTTAAACTTGACTATTTAAATAAAACTAATTTTACGGATTTTATCGCGTAT